AGTGATATTCAGCAACAGTGAGGAGGAGCACGTGCGAGACGTGGAGCGGACGCTGAAGGCGCTGGCGGCAGCAGGGCTGACCTGCCACCCAAAGAAATGCAGGTGGGGGGAAGCGACCGTGCAGTACCTGGGATATGAGGTCAGGGGCGGACAGATAGGGATTCAGCAGGCGAAGGTCGAGGTGTTGAACAGGCTGCAGCAGCCGAAGGACAGAAGTGGACTGAGAGCGGTGCTGGGTTTTCTGAGTTACTACCGAAGGTTCGTCCCTAATTTTAGCAAGCGTGCATCACCGCTGAATGGGCTGCTGAGAGAGGACAAAAGGTGGGAATGGGGGACAGAGCAGGAAGCAGCTTTGAGAGACCTGATGGAGGCGGTGCAGACAGCAACGATTCTGCAGCTGCCCAAGGCCGACAAGCCCTTCTGCTTGTACACTGACTGGAGCAGCCAGGGTATGGGGGCAATCCTGTGCCAAGAACTGGACGGAGAGGAGAGGGTAGTAGCGTACGCGAGCAGAAGCTGTAACCCAGCAGAGGCCAAGTACAGCTCTTATCACGGTGAGGGGCTGGCTGCAGTGTGGGCTGTGAAGCACTTCAGAGTGTACCTGCAAGGGAGGGAATTCACACTGATCACAGATCATCAGCCGCTGCAGTGGCTGATGACTCACCAGGGGCTGACGGGGAGAAACGCGTGCTGGGCCGTGACTCTGCAGGAATACGATTTCAAGATACGCCACAGGCCGGGGAAGACACTGCAGCATGTGGACGGGCTCTCGAGGAACCCGCCAGCAGCAGAGCCAGTGCACGCGCTGATGCTGCTCGCTAGGCAAGGGGAGGAGGCAGCAGCAGAAAAACAAGGAAAGAGGGGTCCACAGGATATATGGAAGGATCCCACGGCCCTGCGGTGGATTAAAGGGGAAACAGAGGAGAACGAACAGGTGACAGACAGGGTGAGAGCACGAGGGCACCACTATCGATGGTACCAGGGACAGTTGCAGCTGCAGTCAGTGGATGGGTGGAAGCTGGTGCCTGCGCCGCAAGAGAGGGAAGGGGTAATAGAGGAGGTGCATAGGAAGCTGGACCACTTCGGGCATGAGCGCACAACTCAGCTGCTCAAGACCGGCTGGTGGTGGGAAGGGATGAGGAAGCAAGTCAGAGAGTGGGTCAGTGGTTGTGAAGGCTGCCAGAGAAGCAAGGCCAGCTTGACCCAGGCGAAGCAGGAGCTGCAATCACTGCCGATCAGAGGGTTGGGGTTTCGGTGGTCTCTGGACATAGCCGGCGAGCTGCCGCTGAGCAGGGGAGGACAGCGATACATCCTACTCATGGTGGAGCATGCAAGCAAGTGGTTAGAAGTGTGTGCGTTGCCGAGCAAGGAGTCCAGACATGTGGCGAAGGCATTCAAGGGACAGGTGCTGTGCAGATTCGGGGCACCAGGGGAGGTACTCACCGATCAAGGCACGGAATTCAAGGGGGAGTTCCAGGCGCTGCTGGACGAGGCAAGGGTGACACACAGGCAGACATCAAGGTACCATCCTCAGAGTGATGGGCTGACCGAGCGGCTGGTGCAGACCTTGAAGCGGAACCTGAGGGCGTACGGAGAGAAGCGGAAGAGGGACTGGGATGAAGAACTAGACTGGGTGGCGGCAGGGTACAGGTTCGGGAAGCAGGCGTCACTAAAGGACTACTCCCCGTACAGCCTGCTGTATGGAAAGGAACCAATACTGCCTGTGGGAGCACCAAGGGTACTGACGGGGGTGGTGAGCATGAAGGGAGCGGAACAGTGGGTGGCGCTGGCAGAAGCACGAGCAAGATACATGCGGGAAATGCTCCCGGCTGCCTTGGAGAACTTGCACACGGCGCAGCTGAGAGATGCCCACAGATACGAGCAGCGACAGCAGCAAGGAGGCAGGAAAGCGAAGCCAGCAGTGACAGAGGGACAGAGAGTCTACCTGCGCAGAGCGAAGAAGGACACGCTGGACGTGGGGTTGGGAACAGAGAGGTGGAAGGTTAAAGAGGTGAGAGGGTCAGGGGTGCTGGTGCTGGAAAATGAGAGAGGAGAGCGGACAGTGGATCACCAGACGAACACAGCGGCAGTGAAGGAGAGACGGCCTCAGCAAGAGGGTCCTGTGACACGTGCCCGGGCAGCCCGAGCACGAGCACAGGAGGGGGCAGGGAGTGGCTGAGGAAGGGATGACTGTGCAAGGAGAGAAGGAGGAAAAGGGGACTGAGCGCAATGAGGCAGGAACAAGGGGAGCGAGCAGAGTAATGCAGGAACAGGGCGAGGGTGAAAGGCAGTAAGGGAAGGGACTCCGACAGCTGTCACTGAATATCATGGTAAGAGCATTATATTCTGTAACTGTGCTAACTGGGGTGTAGAAGCAGTGTAGTAATTGTCATTCAGTTTGTACACTAGGTAGTTGGGACATTGGGAGAAGCGCGAAGTTGGTAGTATGGGGGATTGCAAGGCGCTGCGGGCACAATTCCAGGGCCCTCGAGAGACAGGAAATCTGGCACGAGGCCAATACAAGGCCAAGGCGGCTCGAGCCCAACCCATCACGCTGAGAATCTCGCGACTGGGTGGCCTAGCATAAGTAAGCCTAGCCTAGCATAGTACTCTTGTTCTCTCGTTTGTTTACCAGTGCATAGTGGACTTATGTTACCGTTCTAAGCTACAGCAGCCAGGTGACAGACGCCACTCTTGGTAGCCAGCTGTGGGAGCCGAATCTCTCACAAACGAGAGAAGTGCAGGCGACATGGATCGCCATGAACTGCGCGAAGAACTACATCATGCAGATAGACACGGTGCGCTACTGCTGGGAACGCGACGGATACGATCCGCAGGAGTTCTACCGCAAAATGGTAGGGACGCTAACGGGGGAAGTGGAGACGTTTTACAGAATGACACGCGAGGAAATACTAGAAGAAGTGGAGTGCGGGGAGACGGAGAACCCAACGACCAGGTTCCTGCAGTTACTGAGAAGAGAATTCGTGGGACAGACCAAGGCGAGAGTGGAGGAGTTTAGGGAGTTCAGAAGGAAGAAGGAAGAGTCGCTACTAGCCTACTACAGTCGCCTCAGGGAGCTGGCCGAGGACCTGGAGAGTAAAGACGAGCGCCTGCTGGTGCGGAAGTTCGTGCAAGGCCTAGAGGAGGATCTGCGAGGGGTGGTGCGGAACACTGTGTACGGCATCGGCGACGACATAACCTTAAAAGAGGTCTACGGGCTCACCAAGCGGACGGAACACGCGCAGCGCATGCTCGATCTGGAGGATCCTGAGACCAGACCAAGGATTAAGACAGCGTGGGCGGCAGCAGCCATCACCGGGCCAGTACCAGCCATGCATGGGAGGGGAGATCCGAGGAAGTGCCACGAATGCGGAGAGGTGGGACACATTCAAAGAGACTGTCCGAGCACACTGGCTTATGGGATGTGCGGAAAGAAAGGACACCGCAAAGAGGACTGCTATAGCAAGAGGAGGCCGGAGGCACGGCAGAGCAAAGAAGAGTTGCAGGCATAAATGAAACGGCTGCAGCAGAAGCTGGAACGGCTAGGAGCACCGGAACCCCACAGCCGCGCACTCCTGGCCTACGGGGAAATAGACAGCAAAGGGGAGGAGGAAGAGATCCGGCACAGGGAACTCGCGCTAATGGCGTATCCAAGGGACAGAGACGACCTCAACCTGCGGCCCAGGCCAGAGAGAGCGTCAGGAGACGAGGGGAGGAGAGGCAGAGAGAGAAGGCCTGCACCAGCCCTCAACTCATCCACCGCGGGCATCAGACGGCACCCCAATGAACGCCTAGTCTGCCAGGCATCGGTCCTCATAGCCGAACGTGGAAGCATGACCGTGGGAGGCCTACCAGTGAGTCAGGCCATAATAGATACTGGAGCACATCACGTGTTGATTGGCAAGGGACTAGCCAAGCAGCTGAAGTTGGACCTACCAGGCAGATTGGTGGAAAGGGGAATACTGTTGATGGCAGTCGAAGGGGGGCAACCCAAGTGGATGCCCAGGATGCAGCGGCCAGTGGAGGTAGTGCTGCTACCAGGGACAGAAAAGGAGTGCTGCATTTGGGTGCATTGTGGCGTGTCAGAGTCAGAGGACTACGACGTGCTGGTCGGCATGGAGTTATTGTACAGAATCGGACCCACGATTTGCACATGGCAAGAGAAAGTACTGTTCCGCGTGCAGTACTAGGATCCCGAAAGCTCCATGGGGACCTTACCTGTCAAGTTTGTGAGACAGGAACCGAGAGAGGCATACAGTGCAGAGAAGAAGGACCTGACGGAGGAGCTAGACGATTGGACATGGGAGAAGTATGCCGAAGAACACGAGAAGAGGATCGAGAGAAAGGAGGCGGGAGGGGATCCAGTCTCGCTGCAGGAGAGAGTCACGAGAGTGTGGGCGCTAGAAGGGGCCTTATGCATCTTGGAGCTGTATGGGGGGATTGGAACGGGGCTGGCGGCAGCACTGAAGGCAGGGTGTTACGTGCGGAAATGGGTCCACGTAGAGAAAGACCCAGTGGTGAGACGCATGGACAGACATCACGCGCTCCAACTGCTGCAAGATTACCCCGAGCAGATGTTGGAAACCGCCATACCCGCTGAGGAAGAGGCGACGGTGGACGACGTGCGCGATATCACAGAGGAGCAGTTGGAGAGATGGGGGCAAGTGGACCTAGTGGTAGCTGGATGGGAGTGCCAAGGATACTTTCGTGCGGGAGAAGGAGGAGGAATGGCGGACCCTAGAGGAGCATCTTTCAGAGATCTGAAACGGGTAATAGAGATGCTGCAGAAGAAGTAAGGGGAAGTGTTGTACGTGCTGGAAAATGTGGACCTAGCGGAAGACAGGAGAGAGCCAGTGAAGGAGGCATGGGCGGAAATACAGCAAGCGGTAGGAAGAGGAGTGGCGGCAGATGCAGCTCAACTAGGATCTAGGGCCCATCGACCCCGCAGATACTGGCAAAATGGGGTGTCAGAGGCATGCTTGCGGCATTCACTGGCACAAATGCAGCGGCCAGAACCCAGGCTAGTGATTGACATTCTCGGCCTGAATCGCCTCCCTGCACCTGTGACCGCCTGGGATCATCCTACACAGTATCAATGCAACAAGCCAGGAAAACCGCGGTAGGCTCTGCCCACGCTCGTGTCGTACGTGGGAGCAAGAGGCTTCAGAATGGAAAGGGAGCTGCCAGGGCCGGGCATGAGATACGATGTGAGGAAGGGCAAGTGGGAGGAGCCAACGGCCAATGAGAGGGAAGCAGCCATGGGGCACAGGTGGGAGGCCATGGCACACCCCAAGGTGACGGAGGCGCAACGGAGGGCAGCCATGGGCAGAGCCATGGACTTAAATGTGATGATGTGGATCCTAGAGACGATCCGAATGCACCTAAAGAAGAAGGAGATTGCCAGACAGATCGAGTGCAGTGAGAGGTACCGCGAAGAAGGAGAGGTGGAGAGGAGGAAGCAGGAGCTAGAATGGATAGAGGAGCAGTATGAAGGAAGGATAAGGGAAGGATGGGCCTTCATGGCAGTGGAGGAGGCGCCAGAGAAGATGCTGGGGGCAGGACACTCTGCAAGGGAAGAGGGAGCCTAGAAGGGAGGAGCTAAGAAGGGAGAGAGGGGACCAGAAGATGAATGGGTCATAGGAAAGAGGATGGGAACAGAAGCAGCCAAGGCATTGCAAGAAGTGCTGAAGGAGCACAGAGAGACCTTTGCGTACACCTTGAAGGAGTTGGGTGCGGTGATTGACATTCTCGGGCTAGTGATTGACAATCTAGTGATTGACATCGCAAGCTACCGGCCCGGTGCAGCGTTGACAATCTGCTGACGGTCGACATACTGCGACCGTCAGTATGTCGACCATCAACGTTACCAGCCAAGGTCGACGGTCGACATACTGCTCGGTGGTCGGGATGTACTTCAGCACGAACTTCCCGCGCCTCACCATGTGGTGCAGCCATGCATAGCGTTGCTCCATGTGCTTGAGGTTACCCGTCAGCCCCAAGCCCTTCGCGACCGTGATTGTCGACTTGCTGTCCATGTTGGAGTAGGCTAGAGCTCGCTCTGGTCTTTATTTTGGTGTTCTTATATTATTTCTCCATGCTTAGAGAGCGTTAAGCATTCAGGTTCATTTTAGGTTCATTTTGTAGCTTTTAGTACAAACCGAACACACCCTAGGTTCAATTAGGGTTTCCAACCATCTCTCTTTTGTACCTCGACATTTCTCTTTCTAGTTAAAAACTTTTTACCTCACCAAACACTCTCGCCATCCATGGCTTCTCTAACTTCAACAGTCCACACGAAGGACAGTCGGCTTCCCAGCGTCGAGCTGCTGGAACTTCGCAAGAAGGAAGCGGAGTCGGCGCCCCTCCTTGCCAGCGTCTGTGGCCGCCACGTACTCCGACTCGGTCGACGACAGTGTTGCGCACTTGATGCGCGAGCTCGACCAGGAGACGGTGGCCCCTCCGTGGACAAACACGCAACCGCCCGTGCTCGTCCGGTTCTGCTTGTCGCCGGCGTCGTCGGTGTCCACATAGCCGATAAGCTCCAGCGACTCTGGTCCACCGCCAAACTTCAGGGCGGTGTCACGAGTGTTGGAGAGGTAGGCAAGGCAATAATCGACCTCGCGCTAGTGCTGGTCGCTCCTCACTATGAGGCCGCTCCCTAGCTTACTGCAGGTGAACGCGATGTCCGGCCTCGTCGTCGTCGCCGCGAACTGCAGCGAGCCAACCTTCTGCCGGTACTCCTCCTCCTCGCGCTTCTGGGCCTCCTCGTCATCGAACGTTAGCTCAGCGTAGCCGTCGACTGAGACCGGCGTCTTTGGGACTCGACCGCCGTGCTCCTCATTGATGAAGCGCCTGCGCAGCTTGCTGGCGTAGCCCTGCTGGTGCAGCCACAGCTTCCTTAACGGCCTGTCGCGCACGATTTCCAGCCCAAGGCACTTCACCACCGACGAGATCTTGCACAGCTTGAAGGCGGCCTATAGCAGCTCCTTCAGCTCCTTAAGCATCGCGGTGCTACTGCTGGCGGCGAGAAGGTCATCAGCGTAGATCAGCACCCAGCAGGTCACTCCGTCGTCGGCGACCTTGAAGTAGAGCGCCTCGTCGACCTGGCTCTTCTTCCAACCAGCGCCCCGCAGCACGCCGTCGAGGGAACTGTATCACAGCAGCGGCGACTACTTCAGCCCATAGAGGCTTTTCAGCAGCTTGCACACTGGGCCGGTTCCGTCGTCGAAGTAGTCCGGGTGGTACATGTACAGCACCCAGTCGAGCTTACTCTGCAGGAAAGCATTCTTCATGTTGAGCTGCATCAGGTTGAGGTCGAGAACGGCGACGATGCTGAGGAAGATCCTCATCGTAACGTAGTTGCTCACTGGCGAGTACGTCTCGTCGTAGTCGGCGCCATACACCTGCGTGAAGCCCTTCACGACCGGCCTCGCCTTCTCGCGCTCGACAGTGTCGTCAATGCGGTAATTGGTCGTTAGCACCCACCGGTTCTTCATGATGTTCACCCCGCGTGGGCGTTCGACTAGCTCCCGTGTGCCCATGTCGATCAGGTTGCGGATCTTCACCGCTTTGGCCTTCTAGCACGCCATCGCTTCCTTCCCTGTCATCGTTGCAATGTCCCGGCGATGTTCGGGGTCGACATGCACGTCAGGGTCGAGCTCCGGCAGATCTGCATCGTCGAGCAGTGTGGTGAACGCAGCTGGCGGCAGGCAAGCGTGAAAGACTAGCCACTCCGGCGGCTTTAGAGTTCGACCTGTGCCTCGCAACTCAGGATTCTCAACCGGGACCTCCACCCCGTCACTATCGGTGGACTCTTCTCCTGTCTACCGTTTCCCTTCCTCGTCGATGTCCTCGTCGTCGACCAGCTGCTTCGACCCTTCGACCGGCTGCTCACCTTCTGCTGACTTCGACAGCTCCCCTGTCGACCGCCCCGTCTGCTGCTCCCCTGTCGACTGCACCCTTGCTGCTTCCTCTTGTTCGACCGGCTCCCCTGCCTGCTGCTCTCCTGTCGTCGACGGCTTCCAGTCCTGGTCGACGAGCTTAGCGCCTAGTAGGTCGCCGGCTATGCCACTGGCCGACGCCACATGCGACGCCTCAAGGCTCCCCTCATTGCCGGTGGCCGACACAGGTGTCGACGCAGACCGATCTGAGACGGGGGTGGGAGGAGCAAGAACAGGGGGAGGTGGAAGAACTTCCACGACATCCTCATCAGCAGGCTCGTCGACCTCGGCGCGCAGCGGGATCGTCGCCCTCGAGGTTTCCGTCGGCGGGTGTGCATGCGTCCGCCGCGGCGCCAGCCCATACTTCGCCTTCCACACCTCCAGCGACAGCGTCTCATAGAAGATCACCTCGACCAATGTGACCACCTTGTTGTCGGCAAAGTCCAGCACCTCCCAGCCCTTGCTCTCCAGCGACACGCCCAGATGAAGCCCCCAGAGAGCCTTCGGCGACAGCTTCCCACCGCGCTGCCGCTCGAGAACCATGGACTGCACCATGCAGCCCCACACCCACGCCAGCGTAAGGTCTGGCTTCTTCCTGGTCAGCAGCTGGTACGGAGTTGTCACCGGCGGCGTCGTCGACCACTCCAAGCAGTTGCACACCAAGACGGCTTGTCGCAGGGCGAGGTGCCACTAGTAGTGTTGCACGCCCATGTGCAGCAGCTTTGTCCACACGGACTCGACGACCGTGTGCATCTCCCGCTCAGCCATGCCGTTCTGCTGCGGAGTATAGGGGCACGTCAGATCGTGGATGATGCCCTTCCCATTGACGAAGTTGGTGAACTCCTTCCCGAGGAACTCCCCTCCTCGGTCTGAGCGGAGGATCAGCACCGTCTTCTTTGTCTGCCGCTCTATGAGCACCAACCTCTGTTGGAACTCCCGCAACGCATCGCTATTCTTAGCGACCGGCATTGCCCACACGAACCGAGTGTGGCGATCGTTCAGCAGCAGGAAGTACAAGCTGCCATCCTTGGCAGCCACCCGAAATGGCCCCCGCAAGTCAATGTGTACAACAGCCTGTGCCTTCTCGGCGTCCGAGCCCTTGTCGGGGAAGGTGTGCCGCGCCAGCTTTCCTCCGACGCATGAGACACATGGCGGGTCTGCTCCGGTCGACGGCTTGATGTCGGGCCTAGTAGCTACTTCATGCTTTGCCGAGCTCTTGATCGTGTCGATGCCAATATGCGCGAGCCTCGCATGCCACCGGTCAGGGGTCGACTTCGTCGCCGAGACGATCGTCCGCAGAGCCACCACCTTGGTTGACGGCGACTGCGTCGAGCAAGGGTGAAGGTCGGTGCAGAGGACTTGTTCGGTGTAGCGTGCTCGACCGAGCACCACCCCGGTCGTCGCCCTGCAGCTGCACTCCGCTCTCCTTCAGTTGGCCAACTGACAGCAGATTCGCCTCTACTCCCGGAACGTAGAGCACATCTGGGATAAGGACCCGCTTCCCGACCTCCTCTTGTAGAGCGATGGTTCCACGGCCCTCGACAGGCTGCAACGCCCCATTAAAGCCGCGCACGTGCCTCACACTATCGCTCGGCGCCATGGCAACGAAGGCTGCCTTCATCCTCATCAGGTGGTGGGAGCAACCGCTGTCAAGCAACACCACCATCGGGTTTGCCTGCACAGCTGCCGCCACCGCCTGGAAGTCCTCGCCGGCGCCAGCGAGACTGTCGGCTCCACGACGCCGACCATCGAGCACGACGCCTCCTCGTCGCCTCGGCCCTTGCCGCTGGAGTTGTCGACGTCATTTGTCGACAACGTCTTCTTCGACGTCCGCGTCTCCTTGCGCGACTTCTCATCTCGACGGGGGCGACGACTGGCCGATCGACTGCGGCCTCCCTTGTTGTCGTCCTCGTCGCTGTCGTCGCGGCCAGGGCACTCGTAGGAAAGATGGCCGGGGTCGTGGAAGATCCAGCACTCCCACCGTCGACCACCACCTCCACGGCCCTTGCCCCGCGCCAATCTCTTCTCGTCGGCGTCCTTCGTCGACCGCCCACCTCCGCTACCACCTCCGCCCGGCTTCCCGCGCTGCTCTTGCTGACGATTTTGCTTCGTCGGCGCAACGTAACTTGCCTGCGGAAGGAGCTCCGTGGGCTGCTTTGCCTCCTGCATAGACTCATCTTGAAGGATGTAGCTGGTGATGGAGTCCTCGTTGAGGGACTCACGCGTGCCGGGCACCATCATCATCCACTTCATGAGGTTGTAGATGCGTGGCAGGCCTTTGACGACGTGGGTGATGTAGGACGCTGTAAGTATTTGGCGCCCGCCATATGCATTTCAGCTAGTATCCGTCGAGCAGGGTTGCAGTAGTCCGTCACCGACTCCTGCTCGCCCATCCGAATGTGTGTCATCTTCTCCTCCAGCTGTCTAATGTACAGGTCGTCCTTCGCATGGTACGTCGACAAGATCAATTGCTAGGCTTGGTGACCAGCATTCAGTCGCTCTCGACAGGACCTCAGCGCTAGTTGCACCACCGGCAAGCAGCACCTCGAGATGACCATGAAGATGAGCAAGTGAGCATCACGAAACTACCCGCGCAACTCGGCATCGTCCTCGTGCGGAATTGGCACGGTGCCGTCGGCGAAGCCCTT